ATGAGTACCATATTATCTGCTGTCCTGTGCCTAGAAAATAGTAACATGAGAAGATGTCATTGCAATTTGATGTTATTGTGACTTTGCCTTTCATAAATGTGTTGAATTTTTTTTTCTCATTTACCTTCGTGTCTAGTAATGCATATGTCTCTACTTCTACAACTTCGTTTGATGAAACTTAGAGTAAGAAGTGTCTAGTGGATGAGGTTAGTGGGCCCCTCTTACCCTAAATAGGTGCTGCACTTCATGTTTTTATGTCTTAAAGTTATTGTTGACTGGGATAGATTTGCTAGCAGTATTTATCATGTGCTGAGCTTCTTAACTGGGGCATATAGATTGTTGGCTCCACTCTGATTTGGGATACTAGATTTGAGTTAGACTCCAGCTTGATTTTGATAATTTCTCTTGCCAGTTAACTTAAGCACAAGAAGTTATAACCTGTGAAACTGTTTTCTGCTTGCATGTCTAGAGATGAGAGTCATTATGAGCCATCCAGATTTTTCTATGGGTTTTTTTTTGTTTGTTGTTTGGTTTGGTTTTGGGGTTTTTTTTACCAGTTCTACATAAGGAACCAAATTAATATCCACCCCATATAGTAACACAGTAAGATTTAGTTACCAGGTGTACAAATAATGGATGTTTAGTTTGGGCAGTTCAAAAGAAGCTTTTCTTTCTGGTTTTGAAAGCTTTTTCTTATGATTTACTGTGGCTGCAGGGATGGTGGTGGTTTTGGTATTGACTGCCTAAGGGATAAATGGAGGAGTGGGATGTTTTTAATTATTTTTACATCTTTTTTTTATGGAATGGCACATTTGATTTTATTTATGCTGTTCCCTGTCTGGGTAGCTAAAAGTCTGACTGTGAACCACTGTAACTGGTAGATGATGCAATGAGATGGTTCTCATTTTCCATCTCTGGAGATCTTGAGTGAGCTCTTACATTAGGGCTGTCCCCCAGCAGAACCCATGTGAGAAGATTTTCTCCAGAGAATTATAGAGAAAGAACTGGAAAGAATGTAAAAAATATTCACATTGAGCAAAACTTTAGCACTTGGATTTAATTCCCTTTTTTACAGTAAGACTGGGGTTGGTAAGGAAGTCCAACAGAAACTGCCTTTGAGACTCTTCAGCAAGATAACAGAACAGATTTCCTTTAAACTCTGAAAATGCTGTGAAGCATTTATGTTTTTATCAGTTGAGGGTTGATGATATAGTCTCTAAGAATTTACATTTGTTTACCTCAGGGTTCACAATGGTTAGTGTACATTTCCCTCTGTTTTGCAGAAACTTGGGAGTGTTCTACCTGAGTATGTTGGTCATTAGGCGACACATTCCTTCTAGAGCTTCTCCGTTTGAACTTAACAGGAAAATTGGGCTATTGCTAAGCACTTAGCTATTTGTTGCTACTTACAGGTAGTGGCAGGAGCTTTGCCTTTGAATGCTGAGGGCTTTCCTTTGCATGTTTTGGGTGTCAGGAATTCCCACAAAAGGCTTGTTGAAGGCCTTGTTCTTTCATCTACTGAAACTAAAAGACATTTGCAGTTGTTCTAAAACCTAGCCACCTAAATTTTAGTGCATCTCTTTTTTGATTATGCACACGAGTAATGAAAAATACTGTCCAATTATTTGAAAATGTAGATGGAAGGTTTTCCTTACTGTGAGCTGAATGAGACTTCAAGTGATTCTGGAATATTTCATACTGTGTGTGACTGTTAGAGTGTGCAAACTGACCTGCATTTGCTTTGCTTTCATTTGCAACAAGTAAGTGTGAGCAGCCTGTACTTTCCTATAGGCATATCCTAACATTCATCTTAGACCACCCTTTGAGCCTCAGAAGAGTCACTGCTCCTGTATGGCAGTTGTGCTGGTGGAAGGCTAAAAACACTGATATTTTTCCTCAACAGTGAAATCTGCGAATGCTCCAACTGCCTTTACTCACCAGAATTTGGATAGTCGATCACGCTTGTTTTGGGGGACTTTTTTTTCCTGCATATTGGAAGAATTTCTAGTGCTTAGATATTGTTGTGTTCAGCTCTTCAAAGCCGTGCCTGTAGATAGCTTCCCCTCGACCTTTAGCCTGGAAGGGCTGTTAATAACTGGGAGTTGCATTTGCTCCTTGATGCCTTTTTGGTTTAGGGCTAGAGATTGAGGCTCTGCTTTGATGCTAGTGCCTTTGTCAAGATAAGCAGTAGCAAACTACTAATAGATTGATTTCCTGGTCCTGAGGTTCTGTCTCTGGAGTTAGAGATACTCCTTGTTTCCTTTTGCATGCTCTGCTGGGGTGAGATTTAGGCTATGTGAAGGAGTAGTGACGAGGATGTATGAGGCTTATTTTAATTGCAGTTTCTGGCTGGCATTTTGCTTTCTAGATCTAATGACGGAGTTGTAAATGTTGAGGGGGAAAGAAAAAACATTCTCCATCTCTGCCAGACTTTGCTGGCATGCTGCGTGTTGTAAGCATGTTGATCCTGATGTCTTCCATAAGCATCCAAGTAAACCTGAAATGCACATAGGTGGAATAAAAATCATTTATATTTGTATTTAATTCCAGAAATGGTAATTCCAGTTTGGGAATGAGTGAAGTAGTGCTGGTTTAGAATTTGAAAGTTACTTTCAAGGACAGTCTAACTCACCCACAATTCTTTGTTATTTTAACTTCCTTTTTCATTTTTTTAACCTTTCTGTATGTTATCACTTTCGTGTTCTGTGATTCTCCCTGCCAGCATATTTTCTGTAATTTATGTTCAGTCTTTTCAGTCAGGCAAGGTATGTGGTTTATTCTAACAAATGCCACATGAGCAGGTCTGTCTTTGTATGATATATTCTTTATTTGCTATGAGAAAATAGATCTGTTCTTCCCAGAAGAGTTGGGCTTACTCTGGGTGTTTTATAAGGTACTTTTAATACCTAAGTAAACCTTTTTGCTCCATAGTCACCTCTAGTAAAAACAGTAGAAATAAGCCGGGTATTGCAGCAAGAATAATATATGGAATCTGCGCGTAACCATCCTCTTTCTCCAAACAGAGATAAGATGAACTTGTCAAAATAGAGTGGGGGAAAGAGAAAGTGTAAATAAAACCATCAAATCACTGTAACTCCTCAGCTATGCATTGCTTTACACTGGTAGGTTAGTATTCAGGATTTTTTTGAAATCTGGTATGTAAAACTGTCTCAAAATCTGTGCAAATTATGTTCAATAATAACAATTCAAATGATTTTTTTTAAAAAATTGTTTATCTGGCAGCAGAATGTCTTAATTGTTATGCAAGGAAGAGAAGTGGTTAACTAGAAGGTAACAAAACTTTAATAGTAGCTGTTTATATGGAACAAGCAACTGCTTTATTCACAAGGTATAAAGAACATTCATGTCCAAATTGCTTTCCATATGCACGAAAACTCATACCACCACCCCTGATGACTGCCTGGAGCTAGATTAGCTAAAATGTTCAAGACAGGTATGTGTTTTAGAATTGTCTTGGGAACTTATATTGGCTTAGATAGTTGGAAGGGTCCTGGAAAGGTCCAATAAAACTGAGCAAGGATAGCTCTTTTCCAATTGAGATGTCACTTTACTACTCTGTGGTAATTCAGAGGTTGTAACTCTTACCTGGGAAGTTCAAGCCTACCTCTGCAATTGGCCAAAGAAATGTATAACCAAAGGATTATAGGTTGAGATGTTTTCCTCTCATGTTAAAGGTGTTTGTTAACATGTGGAGACTCAGAGAAGGGGAACCATAAGGTATCTGTCATGAGGAGTGATTGGTGCAAGCCCATGTTCTGAAGGAACCCCACCCCAAGTAAATAGCCCTGTGACCATAGCCTAGCATTTGGGAATACCTGCTTGGGCAAAAAAAATTGGACTAGAGTAGACCTTGGTAAACACAGAATGGGTGTGTAGAGTGTTTTGCAAACCAGGAGAGTAGTTCAATTTTAATTTGGGTGCTTCATGGATTAAGCAGAAGATGAACACAGGGTTTTCTGGGGAGAAGGAATAATGATTTTTAGACTTGGGAATTTCAGTTGTGCCTAATTCCAGCATAAATTCTGCATGTGATTATTCTGTCAAAAATGTTAGTCACTGCTGTTACTCACTAATTGCCTTCTGGATTTTGGATAACAATACGTTAGCTTAAGGCTTCATGCACAAATGCCATTTGCTCTCAGGATTGCCTGATTGAAACAAAGTAAAACGATCTTCCGATGACACACAGTCATTTAGGCTTTCTGGATTGTTTCTCTTGGTCAGAATTTTAATATCTTTTAAATGTATTCATAGGTAAAAACATCAGAGTTTTACCGATACTCCCGGCAGCTGCGACATGAGGTTGACCAAGCCATGAATTACTTTCATAGCGTTCACCAACAGCCTTTGATGGAAATGAAATCGAACAAAATTCGTTCTGCCAAACCCCAGACTGCTGTGTTTAGAGGAATGATAGGACACAGTATGGTAAACAGTAAAATTCTTCTCTTGCACAAACCGAGGGTCTGGTGGGAACTTGAGGGTCCTCAAGTACCTTTACGACCAGACTGCCTTGCCATTGTCAATAACTTCGTGTTCCTGTTAGGTGGGGAAGAACTGGGGCCAGATGGTGAGTTTCATGCTTCATCCAAAGTGTTTAGATATGACCCAAGACAGAACACTTGGCTGCGAATGGCAGACATGTCTGTTCCACGGTCTGAGTTTGCCGTTGGAGTCATTGGGAGGTATGTTTATGCAGTGGCTGGGAGGACCAGGGATGAGACCTTTTACTCAACTGAACGGTATGATATTACTGAAGATAAATGGGAATTTGTGGATCCCTATCCAGTCAATAAGTATGGACATGAAGGGACTGTGCTTGGTAACAAGTTGTATATCACTGGTGGAATTACATCGTCTTCAACTTCTAAGCAAGTGTGTGTGTTTGATCCCAGTAAAGAAGGGACAGTAGAACAGCGAACAAGGAGAACTCAAGTGGTCACTAACTGTTGGGAGAACAAATGCAAAATGAATTATGCAAGATGCTTTCACAAAATGATTTCTTACAATGGTAAGCTTTATGTCTTTGGTGGTGTCTGTGTGATCCTGAGGGCCTCCTTTGAATCTCAAGGATGTCCTTCTACGGAGGTTTATGACCCTGATACTGATCAGTGGACTATATTGGCTTCTATGCCAATTGGTAGGAGCGGGCATGGTGTAGCTGTTCTGGACAAACAGATAATGGTTCTTGGAGGCCTTTGTTACAATGGTCATTACAGTGATTCCATTCTCACCTTTGATCCAGAGGAAAACAAATGGAAAGAAGACGAGTATCCGAGGATGCCGTGCAAGCTGGATGGCTTACAGGTCTGCAGCCTGCACTTCCCTGAGTATGTTCTGGAGCATGTCAGACGGTGCAGCTAAAATAGAGTGAACAGCCCAATGAAATACAAACAGTTATACCTAATTGGTTAAAATATACAAACCTGTTGAATTCCTTCAGAGACATTTCCTTGTGTATAAGAACAACTGCTAAATGCTTAAAAGAAACAGGATGTACAGGGAGTGTGCTTACCAAGTTTGTTAGAAAAGCTGATAGTTGGTCTGACCTTGTAAAAGCTTTGTTTTTTTAACAAACATAATTGTAAGTATGAGAAAAACATATATTTTTGAGTGTGCTTATTTTCTTTGGTAACATTTTATTATGCCCATAATATTTTCTCTTTCTTTTTTTAATGGCCATTGTGTACCACTATTTTTTGAAATCAGTTGTTTGGCAAAATATTTGTGAGAGAAAGAGAAGAAAGACTTTATTTTCAGTTTTTATTGTGCAGCAAAATTAACTTTGTCATCTGTACTAAGGTACAACCAGGTATAAAATACCAAACCCAAAACATTTCTGTATTTTACATTGTCTTTCAGATGCTTTTCCCATTAACTGCAAAGTATGGTCAAATCTACTAGGTGGGTTTGTTTTCCCTTATTTCCTTTGGAGAATAATTTTAACCCCTGTGTGCATGACCTTTTTCCTGGTTTTGTATAGTAGTACCAGTAATTCTGCCAAAATGCAAATTACACATTTTCTACTCAATTGAAAACAAAGCATTTTTATATCCAGAACACTATTTCTATGCTGCCTTCTATTGTCTGTATTGTGTTTGTTGGTGAGTAAAAAACTGTATACAGCCATGTGCATACACTGTAAAAACTGTATATAAATGCATCTTTTTATGTGCAGTTAGAATATTCTATTTTAACTAGTGCACAGATTCAGCCATATCTGTTGAATTTAAGGTATTCTTTAATGAGATAAATAATTCCAAGTTCTTAAGTAACCAGAGGCCTCATTTGGTATCAAAGTATCTTATATTTAGTATATACTGATTGATTCAGTAACTTAAAAAAACTATTTATATTGATGCTACATAATGAACTGTTGATTATTTGTTGTTTGATAAATTATTTTTAAAAAGTCAACTCATCTCACCTGAGTTTCTTTCATGTTTCAATGTGCTGTCCTGTTTTCTTTTTTCATGAAAATGGAAAATGTCAATAAGCAAATGCTCAGCACTGTTGTGACCCACAGTTATTTTTGGAACTGGATACTGGATTTGCTGCAGTTTATTCTCAGTACTTTGCTTGTACTCTCCCTTCGGTATGAGCACTCATATTGAAGTGGTTTAATCTTTTTAGTAGTATTATTTTAATTATTAACTGGTTAGAACTACTGTGTTTTGAAAATGTGGAGTTAGGGTTTTTGGGTGGTTAATATCATTTCTGTTTCCTTTATAAAAACCTACACAGCTATGGCTACTGACCTCGGAGTGCCTGAGTCAGGATGTGTGGTCCAAAGGGCTTTGAATAACTCCATTCTGTTAACTTGCAGGTATAACTGATGTTAGTCTGGTAAGAATTATCTGCCAAGACATAAATAATAACAGTAATTACATTCAGATTATTGACATGGAATTAGGCACTTCTAGAACCTAAAGGAGAGATTTGGAGAAGTTGAAGGCTCACACTTGGTTTGGATGCTGCATATTTTGTAGAATCTTAGGCTGCTGAGTTTCACTCTGAGCAATAGACTTGACTCCATATGCAGCAATGCAAAACCACTTTATTCAGCATCTTCCAGTCAGAAATCACTGTAGAAAAGAAATGTAAGGTACTCAGGGAGTTCAAGAGAATGCACTTACAAAGGGACCAAAATCACCCTAAATTTTCGATGTTATAAGTAACACCTAATTGTCTGAACGAAGTTCGAAATAGTAGATAGAAGTTAAAACAATGTATAAAACTCCTTACGTTGAGTTTTGATATTTTTGTAGTAATGTTTTGGGTTGAAATGTGAGTATTTGGACCTGTATAGAAAGTTGGCAGGTTTTTCATAATTTTTTTGTATTAGAAATGATTTATTGATGGAGTATTTTCTTTTCATATGTCCTAAAAGAGAGAACATACATCATAACTGTAGTGCTAAGTTATTTCCACCAGAAGTGACTGGACCAAATATTGAGATTCAGCCTTCTGATGCAGACTAGTTTGCAATTAAATTTGTCTTTTTGAATAAGAATACAGTTTACTGAATTAGAAATCTTAGTGTACTTTCTTGATAGCTTAACCTAAAGCCAGTGTGGCTTACACTAAACCCTCAGTTTCACTGTGAGACGTGTGTGCATTGCCCTGTGTGGTACAGAGAGAAACTGACTCCAGTGGGTGCTCGCTGTGTGCTCACTGGACATACTTCATGGAATACGGGGGCACAAGGGAAAAAATCAGCAATTTTTTGTTAATCGATTTTTTAAAAAATTCTGTTTGTTACCAGCTCATTTCTCAGTAAGCTAATGGGGCAGCAACAACTAACCCTGCGTGAGTTGTCTTTCATGGGCACTGTGTAGTGCAGGGTGCTTTGCTTTCGTCTGGGGCTGGTGTGGGGAATGGATGTGGTTCTGGATCTCTGGTGTTCCTGGCTCAGATGTCTTAAAGGGACATGGCCAAGACTTTCTTAGAAGTAATGGTAAAGCTAGGAGTGGTGCAAGCTGGTTTTGAGTCTGCATTTAAGCACCTTCTGAAGTTCTGTGTGCTTAGCAAGTGCCACTAGTCACTGGTGAGTTCTGACACCTGGGACATGAAGAACCAGATCATTTTTGGTGCTCTGCTGCTTAGTTCATATTTATCTTCTGCCCAGTTCTGAAAGATCTTGCTCAGGATTGTAATAGTAATTGTTCTGTGAATTTTTTTATTGAACTGTTGGTTTCAGCTTCCCTGAAGCTGTGTCTCCCTTGAGAAGCTGCTGTAATCTCTCCAGCATTAGGAATGATTGGAATTTGCTTGGGTTTAGAATGTGTGGGAGTACGTGAGAGTGGTTTGTCAATTTACATTTCTACCCTGCTTTTATTGTTTCAGACATGAAATATAAAATTAGCTGATGTTCTCTTTTATATTGCAATGGGACTTTTGAGGCAGTTATTTTTGTTACTTTATATGTCAGAGGGATTTTTTTTTAATTGAAAGTTTCTGCTTGTTGTTTGCTTTTAGTATTTAGCTCCAGATAATTTAGTTTTTAAATAGGAACAAAACTAAACTGCCTAATTAGAATTGCCTAGTACTATCAAATTTTGAGCATAATGATCAGATTAAGATGGGTTTGAAAAAACTTTTTAAATGCCTCTCGTTGGTAAGGAGAAGGTAAGTCACAATCTTTGGCTGTTAAGTTTGGGGAGGTTCTCCTTCTATTCCCACCCCAACCATACTGGAATACCTGCACATCTGGTCTCACCCACATGTCACACGTGACCTGCTTTGAAACAGCAAGTGTTCTTGCCTTTTTTTAAAAAAGGTGGACATAGTGAGTTTCAATCTAGGGTTGTTTTGTTTTCCACATTTACAGAAAAAATGTATCAGCTTCATTTCTTAATTTAGCAGCTAACTCCAGGAGGAAATTTGGTTTTCAAATGAGACAATGGACACAAAGCATAGTGCTCCTGTAAGGGGCTGGACACTGCCAGTTCCCATTCCACACGCTGCTGTCTGTTTTTAAGGGCCAGATCTTTTTTTTAATAAGTACTGTGGAAGGAAAAAAAAAAGCTGATTTTCCCCCACAAAATGTTGGTAGTTTCATAGTGGGAGGTGTTAGGTGGCATGAAAAAACCTTTTGAAATTTTTTCCTCCTGAATTCAGCTGGAGGAAGGCAGTACCTGACTTTACAAAGGCCCTGCTGTTTCAGCAGCACTGCTAGCAAGTGGCAGTATATGAGCTAGCTGGCACCTGCTTTTATGTTACTTGCTTTTGAAAAGTGTGGATGCCCTAGTTTCTGAAGTATGACAGCTGTCCTGTTAGAACTAGCTCCAGTGGTTTGACTTTGATATTTCCCTGGTTTCTGAGATTTGCAGGCATATTTTCTTGAGGACCTCCTGCCTTAGAAACCCAAGTGCTGTCTTTCCTCATGCTGATAAAATGATAACTACTTGCATCAGGGATGAAGCTTCACTTGAGACTCAGGAAGCAAAGATAAAATTCAGCAGGTACAAATTCAAGTCCATTTAAAAAAGCATTGTTTAACCCATTATGTCCATTCTTTAGCAAAAGGAGGGTAAGCTTTATGGGGAGATGCTAACTAGTGGTTCTTTAAACTTCAAGCTTTTGTCAGCCTGTATATGACAAAGGCTTTTTAGAAATAGTCACATTTGTAGAGGTATTTTGCCTTTTTAATAATTTTTTCCTTTTTTAAAAAGAGTGAACTGGGGCCCTGCTTCTTTTAACCCTTCAAATCTGTATTTCCCATATGGTAGTAGTACAGTGTAAAGAAAACAGATACCTGTAAGGTACTTAAAAACATGTAAGCACAAGAGTTATTAAGCCTGTGCTTAAGTGTTTATGGGGTTGAGGGCATCAGAGAAAACCTCCCTCCTGCTCTCCTTCAGTTAATAAAAATACAGCTGGTGAAGTTACTTGAATGTGTGTGGCTGTGCTCACTGAAGGGCAGTGGGGAGGAACACAACTGGAAAGGACATGTCATCTGTTAAACAGAGCTTGCTTGTGTCCTGTAGCTAACATTTTAAGACTTTAATGTTTGTTAAACAACTTGAAGCTGCTTAAAATAAATGCTAATGACTACTTTTGCATCTGTATTCTGTTTTTGAGAGTTGGTGAGTAACTTCAGAATTTCCATTTGTGTGGGTAAACTTTCCTAAAACCTAGTTGTATGTGGCAGGTGGCAGAAGAACTGATTTGTTTTGAGCACAGCTTTCCTGTATTTCCCTCTACTGATGTTTTTTCACTTCCCAAATTTCAATTAATGTTTATAGAGCCTTTTAAAAATAACTTTAAAAGGTCAATTTCAAATACCTTTGGATTAATGCTAAGCTGGTAGCTAGGGAAAAATCAGTTCTATTTGCAGATAGTTTTTATTTATGTATGACTCT